ATTACTTTACATTTCTAAGATTTAGAGGCATAAGATTTACTTGACACCAGTAAGCCATGCTGTTTAAGTCTGATTGTAGCAAAGACCTTTCAGTAATTGAAACGTACGATTTATAAAGCTTTACATCATCTGCATACATTAAAACTTTGGAAAATTGTATATCTGTAGAAATATCATTTATAAAAAGCAAGAACAGAATCGGGCCTAGGTGGCTACCTTGAGGGATTCCTGAAGTAACATCAATGACGTCAGAGATAGTATTTTTAAACATTACCCTTGGTGATCTATCATAGAGGTATGAAGAGATCCAACGTAGAAAATTAGGTGGAAGACCAAGAGATCAAGTTTATAGATGAGCAACGAGTGGCACACTTTGTTTTGCTTTCACTAAATGCTTTTGAGATATAGGATGTTAATTCAAGTAAATTTGTAGAAGTTGATTTGCCCTTGCAAAATCCATGTTGACTATATGAAATGCTAGAAGAGATAGAATGCGTCTACTGATTTGTTATAATTGCTTCAAATAATTTAGGAATTGCAGAAAGCTTAGCTATTCCCCGGTAGTTCTCCACTGAAGATCTGCTACCGCTTTTATGTAACGGGGTTATGAAGGATTCCTTCCATATAGTTGGAAAAACGCCCTCTTTAAGAGACAAATGAAATAACGCTGTTAATGGCTCATAGAGAGCACAATTTATAAGAATACAAGAAGGGATTTGGTCAGGACCACAATTGATAAACTACTACATCATCGGGAGATATTACTGGGATATTTATTGAGTTCATTGGACATAATTTAAAAGGATAGTCAATGTTAGTATGTGAGTTAGTGGAATAATTGGATTTAAAAAACTGAGTGAACATGTTAGAAATTGTTTGATTATCACTAGAGACGGTATTTTGATACTTCATGGCGGAAGGAAACCCACGTACATTTCGCTTGGAGTTTACGAAGTCATAAAATGATTTGGGATTATATATTATACGTCGTTTGATTTTACACAAGTAATCTTTATAACACTTTTTGTTTAATTCAAAGAACTTGTGACGCAAAAGTGAGTATTTTACATAGCATGAGTATAAACCGGTTTTTTTGTGTAATCTAAAATAATGCGACTTTCTGTTTTTCAAATTTCTCAGTTCTTAAGTGAACCATAACTGTGTTTGTTCGTCAGGAACATACATCCGTTTAGGCACATGCTTTTCAAATAATTTATGTAAAGTAAAATTAAAAAGTGCAACGCTTTGTTCAATATTTTCTTTATATTCAGGCCACGACAATTTAGACAGTTCTTTGTTAAGCTTTTTAAAGTTGGCTTTCGAAAAAAACAAAGCGAATATTTGGTTTGTATGCTTGGGTACTGCAATTTTGCCCATCACTTATAACTTCGTAAGATACCTCCATAGCAGGGTGGTAGACATCTTCAGGCAAAACTAGTGGATCAAGCTTATTTGGAACGGACTTAGATGCATCTTCAACATAAACAAGATATAGCATAGAGCTAAGTAAATATATCCTTTTCCAGCCTGTACACGAATGCATTTGAATTCTACTGAATCAATGTGTGGAAGGCTAACTACTTCAGATGGTATTGAAGAGTCTACAGCGAAGAGTACGCCACCGCCGATTCTGCCCTCCCTATCTTGTCTATACATATGATAACATTGTGAGACAAATGGTAGGGGTCAGTGATCGGGAAGGGTTCAAACTGCCGGGGAAAGTTATATCGGTAAAAAAGAAGTTATACGTGTCCCGGCGTTTCGCTTGGTCACGTCTAGGAATCGAGATATATATATATAACTATCATATAGGGGAAATTGTCGCCTTTGGTGGTCTTTTTTTTGACATAACTCGAGAACTACTGGTCCGATTTTGCTCAAACAAATTTAAAAAAATTAAAAGTTACAATTCCTTTGATCTGTTCATATAACGTTTTTCTATACAATCAACAGTTTTAAAAAAATTTAATATTTTAGGCAAAAAATATTTTTTTTTCTTCATACATTTATTTTTACCGGCAAAACTGTTGAATATATAGAAAAACGTTATATGAACAGATTAAAGGAATTGTAATTTTTATTTTTTTTAAATTTGTTTGAGAAAAATCGGAAGTGGTTCTCGAGCTATGTCAAAAAAAGACCACCAAAGGTGACAATTTCTCCTATATGATAGTTATATATAAATCTCGATTCCTTGACGTGACCCAGCGAAACGCCGGGACATGTATAACTTGTTTTTGACCGATATAACATTTCCCGTTGGTTTCACCCCATCCCGATTTTGACTGTCGCATAGTGTAATTATTTGGAAGAATCTCTGAATTGAAAATGTGAGGTTTCAGCCAAGTTTCAGTCAAAGAAAGAATATTATAATTACATTCAAGGCGTTTAAGGTATAAGTTCGTTAATTTAGTATTTAAGCCTCTTTCATTTTGGTAATAAATACTTAAAGCAGATTTAATAATTGGTTTTTTGATTCAGTGTTATTACAAGGAAGATTAGCTAAGTTATTTCCTTTTTTGGGCCTATATTCGAATTCACGAACGAAAGCTCCGGGGGGTCAAAAAGAACTACTAAGCAGCGCAATAAAATTATCTAAATTTACGTCAATTTTAAATGAAGCAATATTTCTTTCGTATTTAAAATTAAATTTTCTGATGCTTAAGTCGACAGTTGTAATTTTTGATGAGATATAAAGCTTTATATCGTCTTCGGTAGTGTCTCTCGAAAATCTGGAGACAAATATTGACTTCTTTGGCGGAACCACAACTAGTTTCCTTGTATCAGACTGGAGTACCGGCGGAAGGGGTTGATTTACTGCGTTAGTAGTTGAGTATAGAGAAGGCGGTGGAGGCTTCGAAGATGTTGCCACCACTTCAATGGGGGAAGGGGAAGATACTTCAGGCTCGTTATTATCCGAAGCAGATTTCGTTACACGCTCTTTTGAGGCTGAGGATTCTGATGCTGGAGGACATGGAGAAGTTATATTAATTAAGTCAGTCGGAAGATTATTCTGACGTGCAACGGCAATAATTTCCTTAGATGGACTATGAAGACGCTTACCGACGATTCTCTTCCTATTTCTGTAAAACCATTTCTGGTTTGCCTCAATAGCTTGAAAAGATCAACTTCGGTTGACCTACATTTTACGCAAAACCAGCGAAGGCCCTTGCCATCATTAATAGCGTCCAGAATTCTTCCCTTCAAACCAGCACATTTCAGATGGTAAATACCATCACACAGCCAGCACGATAAGTAGCGTTCAGAATCGCTTTTAATTTGGCAAGTATCAAGATCGCACTTCACATTGAATGATTTATGTAATAAAACTCGTTAATAAAAAGACAAACAAAATAAATTATAACAATTAATGAGCTGATGTAAATAGCTTTAAATAAATGTAGCGAACCGTTTGAGTATCACTGTAATTATGACACTTAATAAACGCAACGCAATCAGCTGTGACAAGAATTACTAGAAGAAGTAAACAAAAATAGTAGAACAAATGTGCAAAAACAAAATGAATTCAGTTAACTACAAAGGATACAACAACAATGATAGCAACAAGTGACTCGGTAATATTATAATGTATGCTAGTGAAATTTAATTAAATTTAGTTTAATACAAAACACAATAACTTTCACTTAGCTTCAATTGTTTCACACTAAGATGCTCATGAGCACTTTTTATCACTACTTTAACTCAGAATTAGCACAATAAACTTAGCAAATAGAAAGCCAAAATCAGAACACGATAAAGTACAACCTCAAGGCTTGACATTTGCGTTTTTACGTTTTTGTACCCGATACTTTATATTGCGATCCAAGCAGGTATCGAAAAAAAGCATCTTCTTTGAAAAGCAACCCATTAGAGGAATTGGAAGATATGCGCAATACATTTCCGCAGCTATATAAGCAAGCCCGTCTATACAGTGTTGCCGTTGTGTGACTAACGGGGCAATTTGACCCTCTTTGAGCGCCAATACCCTTTGACCCGACTTTTTTGAAATTTTGATTTTTTTACCCTTTTCCAAAATTATGTGAAATGTTAACTGAGCCATGCTATCAAAAAAGATTTCCTCCTGTAAGTATGAAAAAATGCATCACTTAAAACTTTTAAGGGAAATGTAACTCTTCTCCATTTATGTGTATGTTTGAACCTTGTTTTGTGAAAAGCTTGTCACACTATTTTTTTTTCAATTCAACAAATTTATTCTTTTACGAGTAAAGAAAAGCAAAAATAATATGGTGACCCTTTTTTCTTCAATGAACCCCTTTTTCGACTTTCTGAAAATTCTCAACGGCAACGCTGCGTCTATACATAACGGTTGTTGGGTCATCTGTCCCTTGCGAGAGGCGTTTCTCAAAAACAGATACAACGATATTAAAATCTCGAAACCGCCTTTCAGGAAAACACGTGGAAAAGTTGATGTTTTTGGGAAATATAACAAAAAAGTAGTTATTTTTTAAACTCATTTTATATGAAAAAAAAACTTTATCTATTAGTCTTGTAGAAATGTATTCTATTGTTTTTGAAATCAAATACTATAAAAAAATAATTGTTGTCTTAAATTTTTGTCTGAAAAATTATTAAAAGATAAATAATCTTGTAAAAATGCATATTTTTTGTGAAAAAAATACAATTACTTTGGAAAATATTGAAAATCGTAGTCTATGTGCAAGTACTCGATACCTTTCCGATATTGAGTAGGTATCGATACCTTGTTTGATACAAGTACAAGTACTGATTTGAATAATACCTTGATGGTATCGATTTATCCCTACACACAATAAAGGGAAGGGACCTACAGTTTTACGCCAACTCCGAACGGCGATTGTATTTTTATGTTTTTATGTCTGATAATATTGATAGAGATTTAACTTATGCTTTTTAAGGTTTGCCAGCTCGAAATCATAGGAATTTAAAATTTAACTAAAACCTACATGATCTCGGTTGCATAAAATATTGAGAGCTTAAAGTGGTTCTTCAGAGCTTACTAATTAAGCAGTACGTACCTTGAATAGAATACTTATGCCAAGGTTCATAAATGGTTTGGTAAAATCTATAACACTTTCACGGGCGTAAGTGATTGTCATTGATCCGACAGCCAAATCGGCTTTCTATAATAAAAGAGCCAATTTACTTATAACCAGGGACCGAAAATAATAATTATATTCAAAATTTCAATTCAAAAATTGAGTTGGAAAGAATTAGTATTTTTAACATTTGTATGCTTGTTAGCTAAGGAATGTTAATCCTATATAACTTATTTTTTTTTTTTACTTTTTTCAAAAAAGTCAGCAATTAACCTTCATTTTATGACTGATATTTTTTTATCAAAAGTAAAAGTTAAAACATGACTTTTGTTTTTTTTACGGTCAAATATAAAAGTTTAAATTTTTTCGGTTAAAAATAAAAGTTAAAAATTGACTTTTATTTTTTCGGTCAATTATAAAAGTTAAATCTGACTGAGTCCGACCGGTTCCAATTGTTTTTCAGGTACCGATCCCGATTCTATAAAAAATTACAAATAAATGTATTAATTCATAAAGTCAGTTAATTTAACGGAGTTAACAAAACAAGATAAAACAAATAATTGAAATAATTGGCTACATAGTATGTATGTATGTGTAAAAATATATGCACATATATCACATATACATATGTACATTACATAAAACAGTTTTTTATATGGTGCTAAGCAAGAAATATTTAGGATCATAAAATTTCATTTCGTTTTGTACTAACCCTCCAGTACTGCCGTGAAACCTTTTTAAAATTAAATGAAACCTTTTTCAGCTTAAGCGA